TGGGGGGGGTGTAGATGTTTTTGTTCCTTCTGAAGTCCACAATCATCTCCTTAGTCTTCTTCACATTGATGTGAAGGTTATTCTCTCTGCACCAGCTCTCCAGGTGTTCCACCTCTTGCCTGTAGCTGGACTCATCATTGTTTGTGATGCATCCCACCACCGCTGTATCATCTGCAAACTTTACAATGTGACAGCCTGGATGGGTAGCTGCACAATCATATGTGTTGTTATGTCTAACAACTGATTACATTTTGGGGTCAGTTCAATTTAAGAAGTTCACCACAGCAAAATAACATTAGCCAAAATAAAAATGCCTTTTACTCGGTACTTTTACCAGATATTGAGCTAAGATATGATACGGTTGTAGCTGAGTCATTCACAACACGTATTCTAAGTGTGACATTTTGCAATTTCTCATGAGACTGAGAGTATTATTTTAAATGATGTCATTCCTCGACAAATGACGATCCCAGTCCTAAACTGGGATCAGGAACAACACTGACCAATATTCCATGAAGTAAGCCCTTTTACATGTTGCTCTATTGAGCATCCTTCACACTTCAAAATAAAACTTAAGTTGTGACGTTAAAATATGAATATTGCAAAGCTTTTTATTGTCTCGTTAAGAAAACTTTTATGGGTCAATTCATTGTTTTACTCAAAACAACACGCTTCATCTTCAGGAATGCTGGGCTTTGTACACAGAAGTTTGTTTATTTATTAATTATTTGGTTTTGGCAGATGTTAAGTTTTCCCACATTGCCAGGTTCTAATTAGCATCTCACACAGACACAAAGGTCACTCAGTGTGAGGCTGGAGTACAAGTCAGACTAAAGTCTCTAAGGTCCAATGTGCCATGAAAGGGTCTGCAAAATTCCTGCAAATCCATTTAATAGATTTTTTTCAAGACTGACATTTTCACGGCAACTAAGGGCAATTTCCTTATGAACAACATTGACTTTTTCAGTTCAGTCAGACGGCCCTTCGAGTTTCTGCTGTGAGGAAAATCATGAAACTAAGGTTGAATATCAAAGCTATTTCCTCGTGTCCTGAAATGACATGTCAGGGTCTAAATACATGTTAAAGTAACTAAAAAGACCTTTTACACTTTAACCTTTAATCATTCACACCTATAACACAATTATTCATTCATTCAACCTTTATTTATTATAATTATTTATTATAATTAAGAGGTTTTGATTTTGCTGCCTCAGGCGCAACATATCCACTGATAACTGCACTGTCCTTGGATCAGCCTCTTTGTTCATTTTGCGCCACATTTCCATGTTTTTTACCTCCTTTTATCACTGAAGTCCCATCAGGGGTAAAGCAAATGCTCGATGTATGAATGATGATGTTGCTACGGTGGTGATAATTATACTTTCTGCCTCGGCTTGCCACCCACATGTCAACAGTCAGGGAGAGTTTTAGCATCAGGACGTCTCACTCGTCATTAAAATGCTAAAGAACATTCAGAACGATGTAAATAAAAGAATGTGGACAAGTTACTTGAGGTTGCAGTCCTTGAGTTATAAAAACGATCTGTTCCCTGTTTTCATTTTGCACTTTGCTTCATAGTTTTCTTTTATTGCACTCTTCACATTCTCCATTAACAGCTCGCTTGTTAAAAAAAAAGGAAGCGCACACCTCCAACCTGCATCAAAGTGAAGGGGAAAGATGATGCTCACACATTAATGAACTTTGAGGGTTTTTTTTTTTATATGATTTCAATCAGGCTGTTTGTTTTTCACTCATTCCTCCTGCCCCTGACTGATCCCTGATGTTTACGAGCAGAAAAACACCAAAAAGGCACAAGTTAGTCTGAACATGTAACAGTTATTTTAGAACTGTGTTGCTTATTTTTTTAAGTTTGGCAATGATCTCAACATCCAACATGCAGTCAACCAACTCAGTGGTCTGGAGATAATTAAAAAAATTAATTAATAGGAAAAATAAATTAAATCAAGCTTTTCATGGAATACGTTTATAAAGTTTCTATATAAATAAATGTTACATTAACCTCCCTTTCTTTTGAGTGCAAACTGGCTAAAATTGTCTTGTGATCAATTTTCTTTTAAAATCCAGAAACATTTCCTCTGGACTAAAGCAATAGTTCAGATCTTTCAAAGTTGGGTTCGGTAGAGGTTTTCAGAACAGTTAATATCCTACCTGTTGTAGATAGCTCTTTATACTGCTGTTGTTGGAGAAATTGTTTAACCCTGGCTAGATTGAACTAATAGCTGATTTGAGCAAAATAGATTGCCGTTGTTTTAAACAATAAATATTATATTGTTATTGTGGCGGCAGCAGCTAGCTTTAGCACGTCTAGCAGGAATATTACATTTCCACTGTGATAAATGTAATGTAAAACTGACAGTGGGGTAAATTTTAAAAATATATATTTTGCATAAATTGCTATAAACCTATTGATTATTAGAGTTAAGACGGTAACTATGGTCTTGTCCTTTCTAGCCCATCAGTCCTTTAAGAATTAAATAATTTCTTTAAATTGAAGCCATTCAAAAACCTATCTACAACAGATATTAGTTGTTCAAAACCTTTCCACAGAACTCCACCAAAAAATATCTGCACTGTTAATTTAACTTAAAAAAAACTGAAATGTTTCATTAATTGTGATATTGTTGAGACATTTTAGTCTCAATAATTTCCTTACAAATTTAAGTCTGACTCAAATTTTTTTTTTTAAACTAACAAGTTTTTTTTTGTCTGTCAAGACGTTGAACGTTTTAAAATATTAGCGCTGTGTGACAATGACGTGGAACAAAAACTTGTGCTGGTAATTGAGATAATCAGCCCAACCTTCAGTGATTCTCATCAGATCAGAATCGACTAAATGAGGTTTTCAGCAGATGGTCCCAGAGGGTGGGAGCCCCCCTAAGTGAAAGAAATGAAGGGAGGCAGTTGTTTAGAATTGTAATGTTATGAAGAATTCATCTTATAAGGCTTTTATTTTTGTCTCGCTCCTTTTAAAAAATAAAATAAAAATGAGCTGGATGTTTTTCTGCATTAAACCAAGGCTACTTTAAAAAAGGGAACAAACAGTGAGCACAAAAAGATAAATTAGTAGATGAGTTGTTGTTCTAGTGTGGTAAAAACATAAGTTACAAACTGGTACAAAATGTGCCAGTTTTGGAGAGCAAACCTCAAAGATAAATTAGTTGTTTTGGCGCCACCTCGTGGTCAACCTGAGTACTTCCTGCACGTGATGGAGCTGAGCTGTCTTCTTTCACTGATTAGAGCACTTTTTACTGCCTCGCAAGTCAAGCTAGCAACCTGTTAATGTAATTGAGTCAAAAGAATCGAGGCTGACTCAACAAATGAGGATCGTTGGGACCAATTAGGCAAATGGATTTCACCCGTGATGAAAGTATTGCCCTGCAAGGAGAGAAAGATGGAGGTCATCATTTATCAGTTTTAAAGATGCGAGAGAAACCTGTGTAGCTTTAACGCCGTTAATTAAGATGAGTCGAATGAGGGAAAAGGCAGGTGTGTAAAAGAGCATTTGTCTTTGGTTTAATTGGTATTACAAATTGTAAAACAAGGCACTGTTCATTAGGAAAACAAAGAACGGCACGAAAGAAGAAACTCAACATGATGCGTTTAAAGTAACCGAGATGTCTGATTGTTGCTCTGATAGTTTCTCTATTCGCCTCCACACAGCTCCAACAGGATCTTGCGGTAATCACCAGATGTGTCCCCCTGAAAAGAAACAAAGTTCTGTGAGACATCAAATAACTCAAATTTATTAAGATCCCAAACTGATTTTAAAACAAATCAAAAATTTCTGGGTGGAAAAAAAAAAAAACAAGGAAAAGAAAGATTGCTTGTGTAGGAGGGACAGTGTCCAAAGTCGCATCAAAGGCAAAAACACATAAATCTTGAATTGCAATTATCGTTATTAGATCACAGCTGATAAAGTGCGTGCAGCTCGTGTGCAGCCCTCACCTTGATGAAGGAGTGCAGAGTCTTCCCATACATCTTTAGGAACTGAGCCTTAATGTCCAACATGTCGATTTCAGCTCTGGAGACCATTATTCTGATGAGGACACTGTCTGTGGTGCCCAGCCCCTGAAGGGAAAGAAACAAAGTGTCTGAAGTGTTTTCAAAGTAAAACCGTGATGACGGTGCACAAAGACACACAAGCAGAACTTTAAACTTCTATAGTTTCAAATGCAAAAGGAGGATCAACCTCGTACCTTCATTGATTTGTATAATCGTTCAGCAAAAAACGCTTGCTTGTTCCTCATGCATTTCACTGCAAAGCAGAAAAAAGCTTTTAATACGTGGCCATTTTTATTGTACTACAAATAAAAACAAATGGTTGTGAAAGCTGGCGAAACAGTCGTATGCAATTTATTACTTACTCAAACCTGACTAGAAAATATTAAAGATAAGGAAAGATATAATAATAATAATAATATAATAATAATAAATCGTCACCGTCAGCATTTTAGAACCAATATGGTATAAAAAATGGATTAATAAAATAAATAAATGTACTGGGATCATCCCATAAAGATCCATCAGGAGCCAAAGAGAAAATAAAACATCTCAACAGTTTAAAAATAACTTCTCAGCATAAATTTCCAAAGAATCAAATTATTTTAATATTTTCATTGTTTAAAAGTGTCGTAAGTCGCACGAGCAACATCAGAACGTAAAACGTTAAGATTGAAGAATACACAGTCCATCATCAGACAAAACAATCATGTTTTTTCTATCAAAACAATTATCAGTGAACACAAGTCCCTCATCAACAGATGACCTGACTAAAAACTGTTGGATTGTGTACCTGGATTATTGAGCATGGACTTTGTTGGTTTAGACAAACCTGTTCAGTCTGGCTATTTGTTTTTTTTTGGGTTTTTTTTCACATTATTTAGAATGCTTATCTTAGTCCTTTATCATTTTAATTAAATTAAATTAGTTATTTTAGTCCTTCTAGATTTACTTTTGAAGGAAACAATACTCTAGTTTAACTTCAATGTACTTAAATTTAACTTAATTATACTGAACTTTACCAATCTTTTAAAAACTGAAGTTTTTATGGTTCATAAATTGTACGTTTTTATACCGTCCTTAATTGCTTCCTTATGAACTAATTGGTTTTCC